CCGAATTTTTATTATTTTTATTTAGCAAGTTTTTGAATTTTACTTTGTTGTATTCTTTTATATCTTTTTGGATATATGGCTACTTTTGACTGTGTGTGAATATCTGTTGGATGTTTTCATACTTCTAGCTCCCTTTATGATTTAGTTCTTCCAGCACAAAATTCCTTCACTGTTACAGGAAAGTGCATTTGTCTAGGGGCTTTTGCATTTTGAAATAGCTGTCAGATTTGTTTTTCTTTTTTTTTTTTTTTTAATTAATTTTGCCTTACACTGGGGGCATTCTCCACTTTGCTGTTAGTTAATATTTTTTATTACTTGCTATGGTGAAGGCAGAATTCTGATGCATACTTGACAGGAGGATCAAAGCTTGACAAGATCCATGTTTCAAAAGCATTAATTGCATTCATATTGCTGTAGTATATACTCCAGCACGTTAAGGATATAAAACCATTGTTAATACCTTCAGGATCAGGGTATTTGCAGACAGTGCTTTCAAAAGTAGTTAGATATTGGAATAGTCTAGTTAGACTCCATAGGAGCAGCTTGACTTTCATTATTTCTTAGTAGGCACCAGAACTTTCTCAGAGCTGGATTTATTCTGGGTATCTCCTGACCTGGTGCTCTTTTGAAAGTCTTTGTCTTGGATGGGTGATTAGATTTAAGATGTTGCCTTAAGGTGAAACGTACAAACAGATTTAGAGGGGAGAAGTAGTTGTTACATAAATGTCCATTCTTATGGAGATAAATAGAGCAGTAGCTTGCTGCCTCCCCAGCCATTACTTATTAGTTGGCAGTTGTTCTGGAGGCCACACAAACACCACGCTTAGCTGATCTTGCACATTTCCTGCCATTTCCCCTCTAGGTTTAAGGTAGTGTCAGTCACTAAATACATGAGCATCCTGAATAGTGGAGGACTTCCTAAAGGATCTGCAGGTGTTGCTTTCTGTATTACTAGAATATGTAAAGACTAAACATCTACAGCAGAGTCCTCAGCTGAAGAGTTTCTTGCAGTATCTTGTCTGCAAAAGAACTGGAAAATTACCCTTTTCCATTTGGTTTAAATCAAAAATCCTCTGAAACGTTTTTGGAATTTTCAGATTAAAATCCCTCCTGTTCCCCAGCAATGTATACTTACTTGCTCCTTCAGTTCTTAGTTATGCTAAGCTTTTAATATTTCTTTTAAGGGAGCATTGTAGGATAATACATGTGTGTAGTGTAAAACTATGTATGTGATACGAGCAGGTTCGTCATCAAGGCAAAGTAATAGAGAGTAAAGAGCCAGTGCTGAACACTTGCTGGTAATAACGTGCAAATGATCCATTACTCTTTTTAAAACTTTTGGTATGATCTCATTATTAATATTCTGAATTGAATGCAAATTGCTAATACAATTAGCTGCATACAGCAGCTGGTCTTCTTTCAAAATCTGTCATTTACTCCATATTGTGGCTAAAAACATAGCCTTTTCTGTATATGACATGCATATTCCAGCTCCAGTACAGAGCTTTTTTTTTTTTTTTCTATGCTGTAGAAGGATCATTTGAGATGCTTTTCCTGTTCTGCACTTTTCAGTGACATTGCAAAAAACCAGTAGGATATATTTGAATATCATTAGTGCAGAATGGATGTAATTGATGAATTAATGGTTCTAACACTTTGATTGTTTCAGGTGGAAAGGATACCATAACATTCAGTGACCCAATGTTGCCTGTTATACAGCGGTCCAGGTCACCATTGTTAGCGTTTACTGATAAGCCACAGAAAACTGAAGTACAAGGTGAGCACCTGTATTGTAAAGACCACGATGAGAGCTGAGCACTCATTTATTTCCAAATAAAAAGTAATAAATTTTCATGCTGGGATGGCAGAAGGCAAAGTTTCAGTGGTCACAGAGATTGAATAAATCATCCATGAGCAAAATGGATAGATGGTCCAGTACAAATAGCAAAGAAACAACTGAAAAATGACTGTTTAATAGATTGCACAGGGCTAGGGATCAGGTCTTACACCTCAAAGAATTTTCCTGCCATATAACTTGATACTGTGAGAAGTTATTCATGCCATCTATGTTACTCTCAACAGCCTCCTGCTCTTCTTCCCTCAGTTAAAATGCACAGTAGGAAAGCAGTCTGTGGAACTGGCTTAGCACTTTCCTGCATTATAGCTGATATCTAGATGAAAGGCTTCCTGATTGCACCCAGTAAATTGACATACCCGACTCATTTTCCCAAAGAAATTGACTGGTTTTTTTACAGTCTTGCCTGTGTTTTGTTAAAAATCCTTCCCCAATAGCAAGCTTTAACATCTCTCCAAAGTCAAGCTTAACTTTATTTGACAGTAGCAGAAGATAGTGTTTTGCCGATAACCTTGATTTTATTTTTTTTTTCCCCCCTTAGTTTTTCATAATGGATGTGAGATGGATTATTATGCTTGCCTATCGGCATTTGGATAAGCTCTTTAATGGGCATAACATTTTGGGATGCCCAGATCTTACTCAGCTAACCATGAAGCATCATAAACAATTTATTTGTTAGTCCTGAAAGTAAATAGTTTGTGGCTTAATTTTGACTTTATTATCCATGTCATCATCTGATAAAACTTGACAGCCAGACTGATAATTTTTTATAATCTTGATCAGCTGATATTTTTGCTAAAAATAAGAATTGAAACTTTAGTGAATAGTTCTCCAATGAGTAATAACAACTCATAAATATTCATTTTTTTGCCTGCTTAATCATTGATTTTTAATTAAATCTGCAGTTACTGAAAGTATTTACTTGGTGGCATTATGCTCTTTTCTTTACATATTTGTCCTAGGTGAGGTTGGTATTACAGTTTTGATTAAAGCTGCTTGTCAAATCTCATCAGACCCTGTTTCTTTTGCTTTGTAACACTGCCAAACTTTAGCTCTGGGCTGAAGCTTTGCATGCTGTGTTTTCTACTTCAGCTGATTTTTTTAATGTCAGCCAAATCACTTTTTTGTGTTGAATTCTGATGACCATGTGGGGGTTTGTGTTTTGTTTTTTTAATTATTATTTTTCATTTTAACATGCAAGCACTTAGTATATCTATAATTGAAATTAATTTGAAATCTGGGGAAAAAGTTTCCACCCTGAGAAAACAGACTGGAGCTTCTACCCCATTCTAAACCATTCACTTTCTCATCTGCTAAAAACAACAAAAAACAAACCAATTATTCTGTTGAGCTTGTTTTGTGCCACCAACGCTGGTAAAACTCTGCATGCATGATTCCTTCAAGATAATATAAACCTAGAGGGAACAAAACCTGGAGCAGAGAGGAAAGAAAGGCTGAGGTCAGGACTCTGAAGTGATTGGAAGACTAGGGTAGATGGGGATTGAAGGAAGTCTGAGTGAGGGGGGACCTGCATCTGACCGAGCAGAGGTCAGAACATAGGAGTAAGGAATAAAAATGCTGACAGTGAAAAAAAGGTGTAATAAAGAAGATTAGCAAGTGGATTGGAAATAGGCAGAGTGAGTGTAGGGACTGGATAAATGAAGGGATATGGGGCAGGAACAAAGAGCTAGGCAGGGGAAGAGAAGAGTAGAAGAAAACAGCCTTGGAGAGGAGAAGGCAGACAAGAATTAGGCCTGTGGCAGTCATGGAAAGAATCAGCTCTCGGTAGGTTGTCACCTCCTTTCCTCTTCCGCATCCCATAACCTTAACAGAGCCAAGATCAATCAGAGGAATCCTGTCATTAAACTGGAGTAGGTTAAGAAATTACTGTTCTGCCTGCAAAAGCAGCTTGGTTTTTCCCTTTGCATGTGGCCCAGTGTACCTGATAACCTGCAGTGAGAACTCGGACAAAATTCATCTCTGTGACAGTTTAAATAAACCGGGCCAACTTTTCAGAGACATAGATGAGCACATATATAATATACTACCAGCTGTGCAGGGGACACCATAGCTTATAGCAGTAGGTGGAGAAATGGCAGTTGAGGCTGCCATCTTCCCTTTGAAGCCTGGAAAGGAAGCAGTGTATTTTCAGCTGTAGGGCATGTCACTGTGCTTGGAGTCACACAGCTCCTCCACATTCAGCAGCTATATGGGAGCGATACACTGAGTCATGATACACTGAGTCACCTCTTGTACCACTCTGCATAGAGAATGACTGCTGTTGAATTCTAGAAGCTTGGTGCGTATTGCAATTTTCCATCTATACATTGTACCTCCAAAATCGGGGGGAGCTTGGCAGCGTGGAAGAACATAGGAATGTGTTCATCTGCCTTTGTTTACCAAGCAAATATGCCCTTGGTTTAAAAGTATTCCAGAAATAAAAACAAAACCCCTTTGATTTTCCTATTAGTTGAATGATCAGTTGAGTGAAAACAGTTAATAAGCAGAATAGCCATGAAATAATTACGTATCTTTAAATGCTAGGCCTGGTATTATGTCAGTCAGCTATTGTCCTTTAAATAGTGCCATTGATACTTGGTGCCTCTTTGGCCCAGAAAATGTTTTTAGCTTTTGCACTAACATACTTTCTGTAATGTTGCTCTAGCTAGATCCATAGGGAATCGGAGGGCTTTCCAGGCTTTTTTTTAAATCTAATCTGTCTGTTTACCTTAGTCTCATCTAGGCCTGCTTTAGTCCGTACTTGTTATCATTGTTTCAGTTAAGCTGGGTGGTTGAAGTCTGTAGGATATACTGTGCAGTTCCTGTGTTAAAATGTATAATGACATGGTACAATCATATAAATTAACGACTCTTGTGCCACCAAATCTCACTTTATCCAATGCATAGGATGTATAGTGTCACAGGATAGATTGTACTTGAGCAACACACTACTAATGAACAGCTATTCTGGTTTTTTTTCTCTTCATTGTTGAATGTGTTGTTCCTCTTTTATTACCTGTGTGCTATTTCAAGCATTCCCTGAAGACAGAAGTATCTTTTTTCTATGAACTTTTCTCTGGTGATGTAGTGCTTTGAAACAATTTAACTTCAGAAAATTTCATCAAGGTGGTGGGATGTGTTGTCCCACTGTTATCCCACTGTGGAGGGAGGAAACTGAGGCATGCAAAGAATAAGGTAGTGTCCCTGCTAATTTAAAGTGTCAATTCAAGGTGCGTAAGTGTTGGCTTTTTTTGGAACACTTGGGGTATGTGTGTTCAGATTTACAACATGAGCAGAGCAGTACTGCAAATCAAGCCCCTAGGTTTCCAGCTGAGCGCTCAGGTAATGAGGATTAGATCCAGTGGGTGATCACCTTTTGAAAGTTAATTTATCTCTGCCTTTTCCACAGACTTAAATTCCAGCTCTTCAGAGTATCATTCCTAGCTTCCTTAATGGTAGTAAGATGCCTGTTCCCTTCATGCTAACCTTTGTCTTACTCATTCGGCAGCTCCCAAATTATAAACGAGGAGGGTCTGATAGAGACAGTGGGCTCCTGTATTGTGTAGCTCCGGTCCCTCCCTGCAGACAGGCTGTCCTGTGCATTGCAGGAGGCAGGGTTCCTGTACGGAAAAATAGAGTAAATGCTCGTATACTAAAAGGTAATGCATCTGCATGACGAGAGTCATGTTAAGCTGTTGATGCAACCGTATTTCTGGCACTTCCTAATTTTTCTTTCTTGACTTCACAAGTTTATTTTCAGTGAGGCTTTTTGTCCTTAACTAAGATGAGGACAAATTCTCTCTCTTTAACAAAGCTGTTTGTTTACACATTGCTGTTTTCTCTATTCTGATACTTTGTTCAGTGTTTGCTTTTTGGTATAATGGTATATTTAAAATTCTTCCACTGCTGCTTTGTTTTATGCTGCTACCCGAATTAGAATAATCTTTTATGTTAGCAGAAATGTTGTGGGACCAATAACAAAACTTCATTATTGGACGAAAGCCCGTGAAAAGCTCCAAATCAATGGAGCTTATGTTAACCCCTGAAGGTGGTAGAGCTGTAGGGATTTACATTAAGCTGTGCCAAAAATTCCTGTAGCTGAGTGCCCTGCTTAGAGTTGATATTCCTTTGAAAAAGTTTGCCCGGCCCTGCTGTTCTACAGTATGGTATTGACTATGATTCTTTTGGAGCTGTCAGTGTTAGGGAAAGACAGGTTCCAAAACAGGGCCAGATCCAGCAAGAAACTTCGTGTTGATGGCTTATCATCTAAGAATGGGTCTGGGATGGGATAGGGAATCACTCTTAGAAATTCCTTACTGAGGTAAATATGTCTGTAGTCTGGCACTGGTGGTGATGGTCTTCAGGTCAGATACATAATAAATACCTGTGACTGACCAGAGCATCTCTCTGTTCCATTTCTCTTTCAGCAGAACAGAAGGGAGAATGTGATGAAACTTGTGCTGTTGCAAGTGAGTCCCTGGCTCCAGAGGGAACAAACTTAAATAACAGAAACCAAAATAAACATTTTTATCCTTCATTACCCCAGCTACCTTCCAAGGAAGAAGAAATAAACAAGCTTGGAAGTCAGATAATTAAACTGACAGAGCAGGCAGTTGCAGAACTGGAAGGGAAAAGAGCAGACGCTTCCACAGGGGAGCAGAACACTGTGGTTGGAGCAGAGCTTAACGGTTCATCTGAGGGAGAGTTCCCACTTTCCAGCCCTGACCCATCTGACCCCACAGATCCCTCCAACTCAGAGAATGAACAAGCAGTTGAAACTGAGACCCTGAAAGACAGTGATGAAACCTCAGAGAGCGACTGTGAAATTCCAAATGAAAGAGGGGGTCGACATAACGGCACCGTGGATGTGGTGCATACCGAGGACCCTGGAAGGCGTGGAGAGCTCAGTGTTACAACTGCACACGCAAATAACAGCTTTGAGGAGCTCCCTGAATCTGTAAACAAGAAACCATCCAGTCTTGCTGAAAACTGTGAATATTTGGATAACAGTTTGGCTTGAGGTATGAAATCCAGGCCCTCAAGCATCTCACTGTAATCCTTTAGCAGTGTCTGTGCTTCTGTGAGTATGATCAGTGAAACAGCGTGCCATAGGGTTGATTTTTACCTTGAACTGCTAATATATTTCTAATAAAGGTGTTTTTTGTTAGTTTTGGTTACAGTGTACCCAAAAAGTAAATTACCTAAGGGAAAGAATCAGTGATAAGATTTAATCATGTTGGGTTTTTGTAATGATTTGAAGTTTCTACATAGATGGATGTAATTTATATTAGTGTAGCAAAGAGACCAACAACAGCGGTTGATCATGTTATCACTAGGCTTCTGTAACATGTGTGGTCCTAGTGCTGGACAGTATTTTAATGGTTAGAAGTGTCTTCCTAGGATGAAAAATTTGGAGTTAGAAATTCAGATGCATCTTAAGGCTGCAAGCTTTTGCTTGTTTCTCAGACTGGATTCCACATCTCTTTACATATAGTGACTGTAAACACATCTTTAGAATAAAATCGCTATTCCCTTATAGGAAGTTTCTGAAAACCATCCCTGCATGTATGTAGTTCTCTAACCTTGATATCTTCTCAACTGTACAAAATTTTTCCTTCCCTCTCCCAGCTCATCTCATGAAAATGCAGGGAGTTATTTCACCAGACACTGAGAATCCAATTTAAGGAAGCTCTGAAGGAAACATCATCAGAGAAGCCAAAAGTCCTTCTGTGAGAAATGGCCATGCTGTTCCAAAGCAAGGAGAACAGCAAGAGGAGAACCTGTGATGTGCTGTCCACCTACTTGGCTCTCTCAGTTACTGGAATTTTAGTCCTCAATTTAGAGGAGCCAGAACAGCCCTCAGGCTGAGTAGATTTCAGCCTACTCCATCTATCTCTGCTCTTTAAAGGAAGCTGTGTCTTTTTTTATTATGTTTTGGAATTAAGGATAAGTCTTCCTTTCCTCCTTGTTTCGCTAAGTCTATGGTGTGGTAGAAGGTTTATTTGCATTGTTGCTGCTTTCTTAGACTTCTTCCCTTGTTGATGTTTAGTTATAGGAAAACTTTCCTATAATAACTGGAGGCTGCTGTGTCATTCCCTAGCTTGCTCCTGATGCTGGAGCTGTGCCACTCTGCTTCTAGGAAGGCAGCAACAAGGGAATACTTAACGTTGAAGTTAGCAGCTGTTGGAGAAGGGGAGGCACGTCCTTCCTCTCCTGTTTGTAGCATAAGGAATAGTCTCTGCAGCTGTGGAGCTTCTATGGGCCAGCAGCCGTCAAGGCAATTTTTCTGCTGGCTTGGGACCTAATTGTCTGTAAATGTTCATTTCTCACTCCTAGAACTTGAAACCAATCAGAGAGAATCAAACCAAATTTAATAAAATACTAATAATAAAAAGGAAAATCCCTCCCAGATTGAGTCCTTCTTTGACAAATAACTGCCAGCTGCAAATTTTTACGGCCCACTTGTCAGCTACTGAATAAACAGAGTTTATATTAGCAATACTGACAAACTCTTCTGTAGATGGAAGATGAGCTAGCAGGTGCTGCCATAATCAAGGTGTCAGAGTCCATGAACAGTTTGTATTCAGCGGAAGAAAGGCTGTATGTAAATTATTACATATAAATATAAGGAATGATAGTGGGAAGGTGAAAAATGTGGCTTGTCTGTTCTCATGTGTTTTCCCTAGCAGGTGCATTCCTGTAACCCTTTCAGTGTTTGTCTGCATCCAATAAAGCCATACTCACAGTGCTCAGATATGTTTCCTTTCTCTTTAAAGGTAATTTGACATTGCAGCATTTCACTGATGATAAGCAGCAGCTCTTAGGAACAAAACCCACCTATATATTTAAACGTATTAGGGACACGAAGCAATAAAAAGTTTTTCTTTCATTATCCTGATCACCATTTAAGTTCCTCATCACCTGAAAAACCAAGAAGAGTTTAAGTATTTGAAAGATTGTTATGCAGTGCCCATTAATTGTAACTGACTGCATTATTAACTCATTTAAACTGACAGTACTGACAAGTCAGAAGAGAAATAGATGCAGAAACTGAAATCTCCAGGAGAATGTGGCAGGATTTTTTCCTTTAATGCTTGAATGTCACATGAGGTAGCATTTTATTCAAGATGTATTCTTTTCCATCTTTCACAGACTAATCCTGCGCAGAGCTAAATATCAGTGCAGTCAGAACTGAGGTAAATGAATAAGAAGGTCAGAATTTCACATGGCTGAGCTCAGAAATGTTGACGGTGTTACGCTGTTTCCTGTCTTGGACCTTTCCTGACACACCATTGTGTGAGTTAGCATTTTTCTTCTGGTCCCTTAACAGCCAGTTAATGCTATTAATTAATGAAGAGCTGGGTGCAAAAATTTGAGCAGGTAGAAGCTGTGCTGGACCAACAGCTTTTCAGTGCCTCGTTCATTTATTCTTTTTAGTATGTTTTTCTGTGAGAAAACAGTGGTGTACAACCCAACAATTAGGACATTTTGGTTATTATCCTTGCACCATTCTCCCTCTTAGATGCCATTTTTATATCTTTGCAATCATTAAATTCCAGTGAGATATCTAGATATCTGGAAACCTCATTTTTAATGCTATATCAGTGCTGCAGTACTGTCTCTCTCCTTTCTGCCCTGGTGAATGTGTGTGTATTCTAGCTACATTTTTAGCCTTCTCCCAGGAACACAAGACTTCAAAGCCAGGAGACTTGTAAAAGACATCTTTGCTGCACTATGTGATAACTAACTGAATAGTCTTGTCAGTATCTTTTCTGGATATTGCTTTAATTGATATTGTTGTGCTATTAGAACAATGATTTTTTTTTTTTCCCCCTCAGTAAATTCATTAGTGTTTTGTTGTGGAATCAATGCTACTTTAGGTTTGGGGTGGGGGTGGTGGTGATGGTTGGGTTAGTTAGTTTAGTTTTTTTCAGACTTGTATTTCCTTTTCCAAGACTTCAGAAATGCAGAAATGACATCCAGACATATAAACCTTCTTGGTGTTGGGCTTTGGGGAAGCAAAATGAGAAGGGAATGTTGTGGCAGGGGTATGGAGAAGATGCATTTCGCAAACTGATTTTAAGGAGATTGTCTCGCCTAAAAGTGAATTCAAGCATTGTCCATGAGAAGGATTTAATTTGAAAATACAATGTTGTGCTTATTTGAAAAACAATGTTCACTGAATTTGTAAAACGAGTGTGTGAAAATGACAGATTAAGATGCATCTTTTAGAATGTTTCTTCTTTTCTAAGTGTGACTTTTTAAGCATATGGGAATTTGTACAATGAAGACAGTGGGATTTCTTTAATCCTTATGAGCTCAGGAATGTATATCAAAATCTTAACTGAGATTAAGTTGAAAGTCTGCTACATTTCTAAAAGATATGAATTTGTTTACCAGCTTCTGTTTTGTAGTTTTACTTTAGGAATTATGCAGTTTAATTTATTTTCAAACCTCTTTTTTGTTGCTGCCTGGATTAACTGCACAACATGGTTAAACTATATTAATACATTTTTTCATCTTTAATAAAAACATTTCCTGATATGCTTGTGCTACCTGCTTGTTTCCTTTTCTCAGTATCAGATGAATGATAGTCATGAGGTAGTGTTTTAGTATTTTCAGTGAGTTGTGTTAAATTAAAAGAAGTAATCTTTATTGAGCGAGAGTTTGAAGTCTGAAAGTTATCTGATTTAAATATTTTCACTGTCACTTCTCCCAGTCTAAATTGCCTGATTTACTTCCTGCATTTTTGTATGAAGAAACACACTCAGCATTTTTTGGCTTTGAAAATAACATTTATCTCTGATCTTCTAACTTTATCATCATTGTCTAAGCAGCATTAAAGATTTTGTATACAATTTAGTTACTAACAGGCACAAACTCGAGGCTTTAGGGAATTTTTGCTGGGGAGTGGTGGTAAACTGGAATATTTCTTTTAAGTCTGCTTTCAGATGTAAACAGTGTGTCTTAGCTATAGCCATGTGGACAATTAAAAATAGTTAAGAAGCTTGTACATGTTTGAGAATAAATCCTGTAAACGGAAGTGTAATAGTGTAATGGATCTAAAGTTTAAAACAGAAATGTCTGTACTTTCCCTTATTTTTAGGGGAAGTCCATTATCCAGGTCTTGCAACACAACACCAAACACTGTTGAAAGCGTAGAAATCTTTTTGCCTTTCTGATTTGCAGCTAAATACAGAATAGCATCTAATGAGAGGCAATTTCTTACTTATATTAACTTTTTCCTTTGGTATCTAACTTACAATTCCTTAAGAGCCTCTTACAGTGCACAGACTCTTTACAGACTATCAACCATATCTGTTAGTACTCTTATATACATTCACCTCCCAAACTGCCTAAATGCGAATCTTTCCTCTTCAAGAAAATACTTTACAACATTGAGTTGATGCTGTTTTTATTGATGGGCTTACAGAAAGGAGGCTCTACAAAGTGATATGCATTTCTTAGAGGAGCAAGCAAAAAAAAATGGGAATCCTTTAGCCATATATCTTAGTGGCTAATGGCGCAGCGTAAGGTACTTAGTGCTGCCCAGGCTGTAGCTGGCTTGTTGGTCTTCACTTAAGCCTGTTTCTATGTTCGTTTATTGAGCCCTCTCTTCTTCTTGTCCGTAACCTCAGACAGTTTCTCTTCCCACAAGTTCTTGTTGCATATCCCAATCACACAGCAAGCCAGACGTTTCCCAGCATTTCCATTTTCCAAACTGGCCTTATTGTTGCCCTTGCCCATGTCGTCTTCCTGCTCATGGATCACAATGGATCTGCCCATGATGGAATATGGACCAAACATAGTAGCAAAGAGATTTGTTTTGTATTTTCTGATTTTGCCATCTTTAGGAAAAAAGTTGCCAAAATCCCCTGGATGTCGGGGGTGATTCACGCTGAAAGGGTTATAGTGTCCTCCTGTAGAGTCACAGCCGTTGCTGAGATCCCCAAGCTCGTGGATGTGTATAGCTCTACCAGATTGATCATTATCCAACGGAAACCCATCCAAGTAAAAAATGGCTTCTAATCTTCCGTATGAGTAATGCTGCCTGAATAAGACTTGTCCAGTCACTTGTGGCTTGTCAGCATCTATTTTGGAGCTAGGCTTCATTTCACAAGTGGTGTAAATCATCCCATCAGTCTCATTACCAGGCATTACCGGATAGAGCAAATTCTGCCAGAGGTCATTCACTTTTTTCTGTATATCATTAAATGACTCTTGTCTTGGATCCGTTTCTTTGTCTGTCATGACACCAGAGGCAGACAGGGCAAGCCCAGTGACCAGAGAAAGAAGCAGAAGCATCTTGGCCTGCAGAAGGTACAAGAAGCTACAAAGAATTAATAGCTTTCTGCAGCAGTATGGCTGGACAGAAAGGCACGCAGCCTGTGGCAGTGCTGAGCAAAACAGCTGGAGCCTGGTCTCAGTGGACTGCTGCTTTCTAAATCTGTCTAATGTGATGAATTGAAACTAAATCAGAATACATACACATGTTTAAACACATAGAACTGACAGCCATGATTAAAAGAATTACTAGTGATTTTATATTTTACACTACACCTTGATCTTTAAAACTGCCTTTTTCCCTCCAGGAAGCAAGCAAGCCAAAGTGTTGTTTAATCTATTTTTGAGTTTGTATTAAGACTTTTCTCCTACTACAAATTCCAGCCAGACAGTTTGCCAGGAAGATTTTTTTTTTGGTCCACCTACTTAACCGCTAGTTAGGCACTACAAACTAAAAGTAAAAATCCAACAAGTTGATTACCTTGCAGAGTTGCTGCAGAACCCCTCAGTAGTAGCTCTTTGCCTCTGCTCCCCTAAACAGAGATGTGATCAGACAGAAAGCCTGAGCTGTTTGAAGTTGATGCTTATGGGAACTGCGTGTTTGTGTAAAAGTTAGGTAACGCTGGCTCAGGGGAGGCGTCACTGGGAAAACTGTGGGAGGGGAGGGAGGGGGGAAAAGTTTTAGACGTTTTCATTGTGGCCATTTTTCCTTTCTCGGTTAGTTTTGTTAATCTGGCTCTCAGTCCTCACCGACATTCAAAAAAAGGGGAAAAAAAGTTATCAAGCTTTTAAACTAATCATCCCTTTGATGACTTCATGTGCTTATCTAAAACAAGCTACCTTCAACATGCAGTGAGAGGAGAGGAAGGAGCTTTATTAAGGCACAGTCGGGCAGTTCATTCACTTACATGCTGGTTGTCATGGAGCTGGTTTGCATTTTTATTTCTTTATTAGCCAAAAGTGAAAGTGGTGCTGGAGCAACATAAACTGTTCCACATGGGTGTGTACCAAAGTTTCTGTGGTTTTAAAACCTGAAGGGCACAATTCAAACTGTCAGATGTTGGGGTACGTTTCAGCAGTGCTTCTCTGTAAAGTTTTAGCGTTACTGACTGCTACTTTACTTGCCAATTTATCTGCTCCACTGAAGTAATTTTTTCTTCATCTTTTTTGAGACAGCAGTGATTTCTTTCAAAAGGGAGAAGTAAGCGGTACTGAGACAGTGCAACATCAGACTGAGGCACAGAGAAATTGTTTCCCAGAAGCTGGCTGGAGCACGGAGAGTTCACATGTGTTTCATCATCCCATGAACTGAGAAATGTTCTCCTCTCAGGGGCATTGCCCTGCCTGCAGCGCTTCCCACTGTTGTCACTGAAATGTGGATTCAGCCATCACAAGAGCAATTTAACAGGCTGAGATTTCTGTAGAGAGAACAGAGTAGCTCTTATTACTCAGGAACAATTCTCAACGCAAGAAAATTGCAAAGAAAATCCTTTTTCCCAGTTCATGTCTCCTGCCAGCTGGGTAAGGAATGGGCTGTCAGCTTCTGGAATGGTAAAATTGTGTGTGTTAATCTTACTGCTATCATATTCTATATCAGATCTGAGGTACTTGGTTATCTGAGAGCTGATTTATTTTTCTTTCTGTGTGAGGGAGAGTGGAGCTAAGGGGGTGTCCACTACTTGGATTGTTAGCCAGGGACTAGAAATAGAGAGTTAACTTCTGCTTGGGATATTGAACGTGTTACTTCAGTCCTGGTCTTCAGTTCCTAATCTCTGAATTAGGATAACTAGTATTTCTTTTCCTCAGGGTATTTATGAGTTGTTAAAATTGCTGTGCTCTTGAGAACCATGCAGCATTCCATGGAAGCTGAACTCTTACAACCGAGAGCCAGGATTGCCCATCATCCCAAACCTAACACTACTTCCTTTGCAGCCTATTCCCGAGTTCATTCACTGGCAGTCTCTGAGCTGGGAAAATCCATACTTGTGACTTGGTAATACTATGAAATTGCTTGGGTTTAAAGCACTTGAAAGAAGTAAAATGTTTTATAATTAGGTTTTATAAATACATGCAAACAACTACCCAAATGCAGAGGGAATGGTTTAAGTTTGTAAAATGCAAGAAGCAACTGTCCAGTCTACGTACTATTAGAAAAACTACTTCCTAGCATCATAAATAATTTTTTAAGGGAATATGATGAATGGAAGGAAGCAAGGAACATTATTCATGGTTTAATTCTTGAGTCACAAAGTAATGGACTGCAATTGAGTTTAACACTTCTGCAAGGAAATTTCCAAGCTAGCAGTCAGCACTCCAAGAAAAGAATTTTAAAGCTTTAGTTGAATTATAAGCCATTTTGAAATAGTAACTAGGGTCAGAATTTTAGCTGGTTTAAATACAGTAATGCTGCTGACTTCAGTGGCATTTGTGCTGTTTTACACCAGCTGGGTTTCTGTCCCTGAAAAAAAACACCCTGAAAAGCCCAAGGTACTTGCTGCAAAGCTCTTTTTTGATGTACTGCACATGCGGGAATGAAGCAGAAATGCAGAAGGATGTAAAAGAGATGATCAAAGGGACAGAAAGGACTGCAGCAAAGCTAAATGATGTATTTGTAGTGCTCTGCACTTCAGAGAATGAAAAGGAAATATTAGCTGTGGGCTGCTGTCAGAAAGATGTATTTTAAAAAGGAGAAGGGATGATAACTACAAGAAATGCAATTGCAGGAGTGATTTGGCATTCAGTTTGGGTCTGAAAGATGGAAGTCGCTAACTACTAACCAGGTGTATCATTAAAGTCTATCCTTACCCACTGCCTATGTTTTAGTTTTCTAGTTAAAAACAGGTGCCGAATAATGGGCTAACAGCCTTTAAAGCAGACAGCAGTTAATGGGAGGAAAGCCCACAGTGACCTGACCATGCACTTGTACTTGTACTTACAATCCCTGTATAAAAACTAGACTTCTGCATTTGTCCCAGTTGTACAGGATCTATTGTATCCTGAATTTCGTGCAATGTCCTAGAGTCTCCTGGGCTATATAAGGCAGTTGTCAAAACAACTTCTGCAAGACTCTTGAGACCACATAGAAAAAACAGACTTAGCTTTACTCATGGGCTTTACAATGGACTTTATACGTGGCTCTTCTCACAAGTTCTCAATCCATGCTATGACCATCAGGGTCGGTTGGCTGCTGTTCAACTTATTTGATTTGTCCAGCGTAGAGTTAAACATGATGAAGAAATTCTGTATAGGAGAGCATCTTTTTGAGGCAAGCAGTAGCCTTGTTTTGTGTCTCCAGCAGTTGGATCTGCTCTCAGTAATTTTATGGTAGAATGATTCTCCATAAAAATGACACCCAGAGAATGCAGGTTTTACATCTTCTGCAGTGGGTGATGATGAAGCTGACTGCTTTTCTTCACGTATGGCTGAGGCTGAAGCTGCTAAAAGAAGGGGGATGTTTGTAGCCTGAGGAAAGCAGAGTCAAGATCTTTGGAAACCTAATCTGCTCCTTCAGTTCAGGATACTTTCTGCCATTTCTGAGTCATGGTCCCAGCTGGGAGCCAGTTACACTGGTGGGTCATCATCCAGCATTTGTTGGCGTGTGGGAGTTACCTACTTGCTGTGTAGAGACTGCAGGGCACCAAAACTTCCGCATGCTGAGCTTGGCACGGTATCGGACATGCTCCGCACAGCAATTGCCTGCGAGCACAGCACCAGCCTCACGTGGCGTCTGGTGTGTGCCAGTACCTGCCCGTGGGTCTACGGGTAAAGCCTGCAGTGTCGATTTTCATCTGTAGTGCCATGAGCAGTGCTGCTGAGTCAGGAAGGGTTGAGAAAGCAGAAGTGCTGTCGGGGTGTCTGCAAAGGTGCAATGAGTTTGGCTATTTATTGCCAGTCATGTTGTCCCACACAGCCTGTTAATGTCTAGTGGAGCTCGGGTACTGATGAAGCCCTGGACTGAGTGGTTTTAGCCGGTGTGGGGAGCACAGGGCTGGTGCTGGACTGCAAGCAGCACCTCATCCCACATAAATCATGGTGGAGGAATTCATTTGCAATTGCTGTAAGGAGAAGAGGAAAAAAGAAAAATCTTGCTGTAGCAAATGGAAAATCTGTCACTGGTCTAGGCTTATTCCTGTTTATTCCTGTTCCTTGCCTTGGTGTTTCTATTTAAGGAAATAAAAATATTTAGTGCCTGAGATAAGCATCCATTTATAATATTCTTGCAAAAGAGTTATATGCATTTCCAACTTTTCAAGGCATTACCCATAAAAATCAAGTTAAATAAATATACAAAAGGGAAACAACACTGTTCTCTATGCAAAATAATTTCACTGGAAAATAGAAGATCATGCAACTGTCAAACTACTCTACATCAGCCAATATGAAAAATTCTTGAAATTCTTCCTCTTTAATAGCTTGAGAAGAAATAATTTTATGAGAGTGAGGGAGAGATGAACTGTTAAGTAAGCTTTTTGAAAAGGCTGCATTCAGAAACTCATTCTAGTCTGTCAAGCTAATTTAACAGAATTTCATCTTCACATGTGGATATAAAATATAAATATGTAATGTAAAAAGTAGGGATGGAACCCAGCTATTAGATAATTGAGGTTGTTATCTGTGTTTGCATTAATTCCCTGAACCTTTATTAAATGTTTATCCATTCTGCTGCATAACATTAATTTGAAGAGGGGTTTGCTGTTTGAGAGGAGGCAAGAAATAAACACAAGACTTTCCTCAAGGTCAGTGTCCAATGTCCATAAATGGAAATATCTTTTTTTATTAAATTTCAAAATGCACATTGCACACATCATGCATATTTGCACAACTGCAGCACTGTGTGTATCTTCAAGGCAAAGCTCAGGAGCCCCAGGGAGGTTGGGCCAGTGGGTCAGATATATGAGCAACGGTTACATACAAATAACTAAATACGCAGCGATCTCTCTTTTTATGACAATAGTGAGTGTCTCAGAAGTCTAATGATCATCATGGATGAACTGAGCATGATTTTCAGATATTTCTATCCTTCCAGTGTACTGAAGAGACACAACTGTTGATAACAAGTTAATCTCTGCCTTCTGTTTATGTATGCTGTGATGCTTCTCTTTTCACTGCTGGGTTGGAAGATAGTTTTGTAGGTACTGACAGCTGCCGTATGCTTCTCAGGTAAGAGGCAGCAGGACTTTCCAGGACCAAGAAGAGGAAGCTTAGTCCCTTCCAATGGGAACAAGCCCAGTCCTGGCCCAGGCTCATCCCTGTCCTCAGGAGCATGTCAGCAAGGTGAGAGAGGGCAGGTAAGAGCCACTGCAAGAAGTAGAGATGGAAGCAGGCAGGAAAGGAGGAATTACAGATACTTGTACAGGCAAAAAGTTTAAGAGTCCCAGAACTGGCCTGATACTTTTTCACACATTTCAGCTTAACTTCTGTTTATATGTAAAGGATTGGTGCAGTTTCACTTAGCAGCAAGCAAGTATTTCAAATAAGAGAGTTTAAACTCCTTTGATTTACGTATTGCAATACAGATACACTTTATTTAAAAAAGAAAAATAGAACACAGTGTTCTCTTTATATAACCTCCGAATTTTATTTGAAAGGCCAGGGACTCTCACAGATACCCAGTGAGTTAAA